GCTGCCCCACTCTGGGGCTGGGGTCTATGTACCCCGCAACCCACTGGTTGCGCTAGTGCCCTCTTCTGGGGCTCATCATGCCCCCTCTGGGGTGTCTCATAGCTGTCCTTCTCTGGGGCTAGGGTCTACATACCCCGCATACAGCCCAGGGTCTGTTCCCCACCCGCAACCCACTGGTTGCGCTCAGGGGCCCCACACCTCTGGGGTTCCTATGAGGCCTCCTCCAACCCCTACAGCCTCACCCAAGCCTCCAGTCTAATACGTAAGCCGAACAAACTAGAGCCTCCTGGCTGCAACACAAACATAAAGCCTCCTGGCTAAACCATAGTGCCCAGTCCTCTCAGGGCTATAGTGAGCTGTACTTGCAAGTCAGGCTTCTTCCCATATCTCAGCCAAGGGAGCTCCTACCTCTCCGATTGCTGGCAGGGAACTCCTAGCGTGGTCTCAGCCCTGGGCTTTATAAGGGCCAGGCCCTGCCTCCTACAGGCAGCTGGCTCTCCTTAGTTGCCCCGGCAACCCGCAGCTGGGCTCGTTACCCTGGCAACACTCAGCTGGGCTCGTTATGACCTGCCAGGGCTCTGTCTCTCTCCCTGGCAGTTTCTCCTCTCTAGGAGCAGAGCACCGAGGTGCTCTGCGACACTTTGTATATAGGTTTACATCTGCAAAGTCTGCCAGAATGATTTGGTGTAGACTGTGACTTGTTTGATTTGAATTGACTGTGACTTGTATGATTTTCTGTATTCCTGTCCCAGCTGTATGGTATGGCTATTCGTAGAGATTGTGCCATCTGTTTAATTCCTGCCAAAGAGTCAGCTTAAATTATTTGCCAGCAGAGGCCAGGAAGGAGTTTTTAATCATCATGAATGCTAGTGTTTTTGTTTCTTTTCTCTTTTCTCCCTTTTCCCTTTTCTAAAACACTGGGAGATTGGCCACAGATAAAGCTGGATGCAAGTTTGAAGGGGGCACTGCTAAGCTCCCTCTGGTATTTGGAAAACTCAGCAGTTCCTGGTTAGATGGTCTTGCTTTTCTGCTTGAGGTCATACGAAGCATCAAATTAGGGGGCTGAAAGAGAATGTTTTCCCTTCAGTTAGCAAGGACTGTGGGGGCTTGTTCCTTTTGTAGCATAGGGCACAGTCCTCTTTCTATGATTGTCTAAGAGTTACTAACCACCTACTTGCTTGTCATTGCAGACACAGATCATTGGCAGTACTCTCAACTCCCCTGCTTTTGCTTATGACATGCTGTAGGTTGTTCTTGGTGTTTCTGATTCTGCCCCTTGTAGTTGTAAATGATGGTAATTGTGAGGAATCCCTGGGTAAATGCTTGTCTGGGAGCCCAAGGGACTAGACTGGTCCAGGAGGCTCCTTCCAATCCTATGTTTCTGTGTGGGGAATTGGAATAATTTCAGTTGCTGTTGTTGCTGTTGTTAATGTGTTCATAAAATACCTGCATCCTCTCATATATTTCCTTCACTGGTTTTGCAACCTATAACTTTGAGACTAACGTATATGTTTGTATGAGAGGAAAAATAATAAAACTGATTTGTATGCTAAAATTGTGTTTCACATTGTTTTATTTGTAAATTAAAATATCTTATAACCATATGTGATATGCTTAGTGAAATAACTTCCTGTTTGCTGCCCGAGAATGGATTATTTTCTCCATTTTATTTTGTGAAGAAAATCTTTCTATGTTGTAAGAACTTTGTAAGTTCTTACAAGTTAGTTTGGGAAATGTCTAAACAAGTAGTTTTGTGTTGTTTCAGTAACATTGTGAAACACTGTGATATTTTAACATATGCACCCTTTGGAAACAGGTAAGGAAGTTTTGCTGAAAGTTTCAACTAACTTTTATAGGATTACAAACAAACACAACAACAAAGTTCATGAGTCTGCCTGTAAAAAAAACCAAAAACCCAACTGAGTGAGTGCTTAAATAATGTCTGCTATTTTATAATTGCTGTCTGAAGTGGAATTAAAAATTGACATGGATTTAATCTAAATAATGAGCTGCAGGGGACTGACGGAGGAATCTCTACTTCAAACTTAAGCTCTGCTTTTGATTGTACCAAAGAGCACTGCATTGACAGTCTCTCTCCACCTCAACAGCCTCCTTATTTATGTTGCTTGGTATTTTCAGGTCCTAATGGTAATAGTAATGGCACTGCCTGATGCTTATGGGTATGTCTCCATTGTAGCAGATGGTGCAAATATAGTATTAGTGGGGATGACTGAGCAAGCTTTATCTGGAGAGCATGGATAACAAAAGTGGTGAAAACATGACAGTTCACTGTGGTCTATATAAACTCAGAGGCCCTGGGTATGTGGTAAAGCTGCTGATCCAAAAATAACTCATCGTGAGGGCACCTGTTTAGGATTTAGGGGACATACAAAATTCCCAAAAACTGAAGGCTCTGTTTTGAATCAGGTGTTTCTTACATCCCAAGGGAGCACCCTAACCAGCAGACTATTAGCCATTCTCATATATGTGGGGTTCTCTTTGTTATATTTTTTCAAAACATTTGAGTTTTGATTAAAGGACATTTTCTGATGGAAAAATGTGTTGTCAAGAAATGCATACCCATTTTGAGGAAGCAAAATGGGGAAGCTGGAACTGAGAAGATGTTCACAGTCATTGCCAGTTCCACCTTAAAATTTCTTGTGGTCTGGATAATAACCCTGAGTCCTTTCCTTCTCATTCCTTTCCACAGCAGTGTGAGAACAATTAAAGTAGTTTTTTTGACTACCACTGCCAAGGAGGTATTCAGTGTTACTTTTTGCAGCTCAAGTAAGAACAGTGTTCTGGAGGGAACACCTCCTTTCTCAGTAAATGTTTTTTCTTACTTGGGATTCACCTGTTCTCCCTCCCTGCAATTTGTATGAATGTCACCAGCTGTTAGTTTACACCATTGTGTATGTTTTGCTTTACTGGATTTGCCGCAGTATTAGGTAGTCCATCACATGGCTTGCAGGCATAAAATCAATGTATGTGCAGAGAAATCAGTGTACTACTTGATAGCCTACAAGTTGAAAGAAAGAGCAGAAGACTATAGAGTGAGTGATCAACCAAAGAACTAACAGAGAAGTAGAGAATATTAGTGGATGAAATGTAAGATGAAGAAAGAAAAGCCATGATGTTCTTAATAGATTCAAAGAAGTTGTTTCTTATATTTAAAGGCAGATAAGTAGTGGTCAGAGAAAAGCAGGGAAAACACAACAAGATTTATCTTGTTCTAACTGCTGACCCTCTCTATGAACACCCTCCCCCAACAGATGTACTTTGCCTCTCCTTTTTTTCTGTGTTTTTTTGCTCGTTGTTAAATGGTGAGAAAGAGACTTTGCCCCAGTTATCCATTCATTCATTTCACAATTAAGAAGTTCCCGTGTGCTAACATTTTCTATTAAGCAACTTGCAGTTTCTCCACACAGATCGGGAAATACTTCATGTTTGTGTTTTGATCACAAGGCTTGACTGGTTATGAATTTTTCCAGATAAACTTGCCCTGATGTCCTTCTAAGAAGCAGGTCCCTGAAATCTTCTGGAGCATCTGGAAGGAGGTAAACTGCCTGATAAAATAATTTTCATAGAATGACTGTAACTTAAGCCTGTTTGCCCGAGGGTCTTTCCCCATCATTTTCTGAAACAATGTTCGCCTATTAGTGTTTAAATCCAAGGCATGCCTCTTGCAGAAGCTTACTTTGGAGTCTAAAAGGTATTTCATTTCACATGAATTTGATGTTCCTTTGCTTTTGTTGCTGAAAATTATTTCAACTGGAATTAAAGAATCATAAGCCTGGGGTTCTAGAAAGTGTCATTTTTACCAAAGGAATGAATCTCATGGCATGGTAAGTTTCCTACGCGAGTACATTTTTGGGTCTCATTCTAAGTCTGACACACGTTGCATCCTATGTTTTGCCTTGCCAAGTGGGGAAGCATGCTGCGGCATGCTGTTTGCATATTGTTAGAAGATGTGGCTGTATTTTCAGGGAGGGCTTCAAAGAGCTTTTGAGTGGGCAGTTAGGACTAATTGCACGCCACCCTCTTAGTTTGTGTAGGAGAGCTGTGTATCAGTTATTGAATATGTTGTGATTTTCTAGTATGTTATTAAATGGATACTGTTTGTCATTTCTATCCACAGGTACAATGAAATATTATACTGCATTTGGAATTTTATTAGAGAAGGCTAAGAAACAAAGTTTCTAAATGTGTTTAGGAGAAGCATACTTGTGTGTATGTATATCCACATGTTAGGAAAAGGAACAGGAAAAACAGGAGAAAGGTGAAATTAAGCTAAATCACAAAGGGATATTTTTTTGTTCAATCAAATGTCCCTTTGTGCCTAAAATTATTTATATTTCTATATTTTTTTTATGTTAAGTATTTCTAAAGGTACCTATATCTGTGAAGAGAAAAGGCCCCAAGCTGAATTAAGATACATCAGACACTAAAAACAGTGGAGTTTCCTTTAGCCAGAATCTGACAAATCTTTTACAGCATTGTTTGGAGGAACAAAAGCTATGATCTGAATTCACAGCAGGGCTGTCAAAGTTATAGGTGCTATAGGAACAATTATATAAACATAAGTTTAAATCTTGCTCAGAATTAGTTTCATCAATTGAAAAATTAGGAACTCTGGGTGTGGACATAGGTAACTCCAGAAACGTTTAAGTGAAACAGGCTTGGAAACTTTTCAGGCCTGTGGTAGGGATGATGGTGGCCATGTTGCCAGACTTGGCCATTTCCAATGGGCCTAAGCCAAGCTTCAGAAGTATGGCTAAAGCAGAAGGGTCCAAAGCTTGTTCCTGAGTGACCACTGGATGAACCTTGGACACTGGACCACTGGAAGGGAGAAGGGACAAAGTGCCTGCAATTGCCCGTAGCCCTGCCCCAGGGGGGCGCTGAACTAACTAGGGATTGCAGCCAATGAGGAAGCAGCTGACAGGGCTGTAGGGACTAATGAGAAGCCCCTATGCCAGGGGTGGGCAAAATATGCCCGTGGGCCACATCTGGCCCACAATGCCATTCTATCCGGCCCGCGGGGCCCCTAAAAAATGTAGAAAATTAATATTTCTCTGCCCTTGGTTTCCATAAAAAAGGAACGTTTTTAGGGAGTCCAGAACAAAGACTGTGGGGGCTTAAAGCCTCAGCTGTGCAGCTGCTGCTGAGAAGTTGAGGCCAGAATAAAGGGGTTAGGACTGAAGCTAGCAGCCAGAGTACATAGGCCAAGACCCAGAGGGTCAAGGTCTAGACCAGAGCTTTCCAAACTGTGTGCCGCGACACATTAGTGTGTCGGTGGCAGTGTGTAGGCGTGTCGCGCGAAATGCAGAAAATTTTGCGGAAGGGCACCGCGGAGCTCCCTTACTCGCGTCTGCTTCCCTTTGCACCTCCCCCAGAACTGAATTACTGTGTCGCGAAATGATGCATGTCTAAAAAGTGTGTCACCAACATGAAAAGTTTGGAAAGCTCTGGTCTAGACAAACACAGAGGTTAAGGTGGAGCCAGGTGGTCCAAAGGAAAAAACACCATTCCAAGGCTTGAGATGCCTCTGGTAGAGGTACTTATTCCATCAAGATGTGGCAGGTGAGAGGCCAGGTGGCAGTATGGAAGAGATGGAGTGGGGGCAGGCTAACTAGCCTCTGGGTGCCTCTACCTCTTGGCAGGGCTAATCCTGTGACAAAGCAATAAAAACATTGGGCTGTAAACCTATCATCTTTTAACTCTCTCATCAACAGCCATTCTGCAAGTTTACCTGTAATCCAGGTAATAGTGGGGCTCCCTACCTTCCCACTGCTAGGGTTCTTACTGCAGCCACAAGCTCCTCTAGCTCTCTTCTCCCCCTCTTACTGGAGTACAAAAGAAGAGGGGATTCAGGCTGGAGAATGGGTTCCCAGTGTTGCAGCAGCCAAGACCAAGGCATGCAACTGGCAGCTATACTTACTTGTTAATCAATGAGTTTTAATTTAATTTTACCTGATAAAATGTGTATTAGAAATGTAGCAGGGGTTTAGGTTGTAGCCGTGTTGGTCTAAGGACATAGGCAGACAAGGTTCCTTGGGTGAATTTGATATCTTTTATTAGACCAACCCAAATAGCTGGAGAATAGTTATTAAGCAAGCTTTCGGGTTCAAAAACCCTTCATCAGGCTAAGGAAGTTCCAGCAGTTGGTGTGTGCTCTTCCTGGATGGAATGAAAAGTAAAGAAGCCAGGGGCTGGGCTGGGGAGTCAGTTGCCAGGCAGATTATAATGTATCAAAAATCCAATGTCTTTGTTTAGTCCATGATCTCTAGTATCCAGGAGGTTGATGAAATGGAGCTCATAGGCTCGTCTCTGGGAAGTGTTGTGTAAGTTTCCCCTGAGGATCAGGACTGAGAGATTGGAGAGAGAGTGGCCCTCCTGTGAGAAATGTGCCCCACCGGTAATTGGGTATTTCTGTCTTTGATGGATTTCCGGTGTGCATTCATTCTGGTGCGCAGTTGTTGTCTGGTCTCTCCTACGTATTTTCCATCAGGGCATTTGGTGCATTGGATGAGGTATATTACATTTCTGGAGGTGCAGCTGTAAGATGCAGGGATGCTGATGGCTCTGTTGTGGGGTGTAGTAATAGTGGGGGTGGTGGAGATGTGTTGGCAGGTTTTGCATTTCTTGTCATGGCACGGTCTGGATCCTTTTGGTGTGTTCTGGGCTTGAGGAAGTTTGCTTCTGGTGATGAGGTTGGCGAGGTTCGGTGCTTGTTTGAAGGCTAGGATGGGGGGCTCTGGGAAGGTCTTTCTAAGAATAGGGTCTCTGTCTAGTATGGGTTGCAATTGTTTGAGGATTTTCCATACCATACCATCAGCTTTCATCCTAAAGCACACCACCAGATCCATTGTGGACAGCCAAGCTATATACTACAGCTGCATCTGCTCAGACAGTGATGAATTCCTTAAGGACCCAGAGAAAGGAGCCTCATTTCAAGAAGCGTTATTTTGGAATGCTTCAGCTGCTTTTGGAACCTTTCAAAGACCTTTCAATGTATGTTTGTACATTTAGGCCTTTGAAACATTTCAAAAGCATTTGAGATGTTTCAATTATTATTCTGTCCACAGTCTTTAGGACTATTAGAATAACATTTATTGAGCTAAGCATTGTATGATATCAATGGAATCAAACTCGCCCTGTGCCCCAGCCCAGATCTGGATCCATGGGGCTTCTTGGGGGCCAGATCCAACCTGGGACACATGGTGTGGTGACACAGTATGGGGTGCTACTATGCAAAGCCACCCACCTCACTGTGCCAGGCCCCAAAAGCCTCATTTTGGGAGTCTCCCTCAGGGAACCTACAGCCGGCTATCCTGCTTTTTGGAGAACACTAGCAAGCCTGAGGTAACTCTGCCACCACCCAGGCACTGGTCTCTGCCAGGGCTCTGTGCAGCCCAGGGCACCCGATCCTTGGGGTTGCTTTTCCCACAGTAATATTTCTGGGTGCTTCTTTCAGCCCAAAGCATCCCAAGATAGCATCAGGTTGAACTGAGGGAAAATAAAAAGACAAATTCCACTGGCCAAGCTGGGAGTGGAAAGCCTCCCTCCTCAGTAAGGCAAGCTGTAACCTGACACCTTTATTGATTGGGGGGTGGGGAGGTAGAAGTCAGAATACACTTCGAGCAGACATAAGCAACTTGAGTCATATAAAGGCTGAGTATAATGACCCTTTTAAGATGAGACTGGCCTAGACATAATTCCTAACCTGGCTAGTTTTCAGGTTTTTACTGACAGAAAATTACCAGGCAGCAACTTGAGCCATTTGCTTGCAGCTTTCAAAACGCCCGCTGGAAGGAAGAGAGAGCTGCCCCCTCCCCCTAGGAATCTTGTCTGGCCAGGTCACCTGATTGACCAGCTTGAACCAAAAAGAAAGCAAGGAGAGAGAGGGGTCACTTGGGCTGACCCGAGAGAAGGGGAGGGGATTTCTTCACACCTGGCAACCGCAGCTGCAACAGCTCTGATTCCAGCATGGGGCATGTGGCAGCTCCAGCTGAGGAAGAGATAGGGCTACAGCAGTGCAGATGGGGTGAAGAGGCTGGAGGGTGACCAGGGCTGTATTGGCCCTTGCTTGCAATCCTGCCACTGATCACTGTGTCCAGCAGGGTCCAAGGGCCCTGGATTCTGCAATAGGTGATGCCCCCAACTCTTGGTGACCTGCTGGTAGTCTGGTGCGCCAGTAAGCCTTTTGAAGCATCTTAGAATAATAGTAATTTAATAATAATGCCTTTCATTGTAGGAATGCAAACACTGCAAATTTTGCAAACAGCAAATTAAAGATAGAACTACAAGATACTGATGTGTGGACTTAACCAGCAAAGGGTATGCAGTCAGTGAGAAGGAATAAATTGTTCTGAGTCATTTTTCTGATGATAGTGGCCCTTTTGGGGTGATTTCTGTATGTTACAACACTTAAGCAATGTATGTGGTCTGAGACAAAAAGTGCAAAACTCTAGAACTCTTGGTTCCAAAATGATACCTTTTATTAAACCAACTGAGAACTTGCAAAAAAAATCTTTTTCTGAAAGCTTTCAGGTTCATATGCCCTTCATCAGGCTCAGGGAAAATTCAAGATGGTAAAAAGCCCCCATATGTAGGAAATAAACGTTATTTTTGCATGGAGGAAGCAGAAGTTGGAAGACTGTTCCTCTGGGTCCATGAGAGTCTCTGTAAGCTTGCTCTTTGTTGTGTAGATCAAGCAGGATTTCTTCCCTGGTGGTGTCAGATGGCAGGCAGGGAGGTGTAGAAATCTTTCTTGTTGTTCAGCAGTGTGTTTATAATTCAAAACTGGCTAAAATTTGGCATCTTCCATATTTCAGGGATGTATGTGGTAGCTGTGTTAGTCTGAGACAAAAAGAAAAGCAAAAATCTAGAACTCTTGGTTCCAAAATGATACCTTTAATTAGCCCAAGTGAGAGATTGCAAAAAATATATATTTTTCTGCAACCTTTTGCGCTCATTCATCCTTCATCAGACTCAGGGAAAATTCAAGCTGGTAAAAAGGAGGCCAAAAGCTTGCAGATAAAGATTTTTTTTTTTTTTTTGTAATTTCTCAGTTGGCCTAATAAAAGGTATCATTTTGGAACCAAGAGTTCTAGATTTTTGCAACACTTTAAGCAAGATCTTTCTAACATTTCATAAACAAAACCAGTTCTTTCTTTGTAATAACTTTTTAGGCACAGGAGGGCAGAGTTTAACTCTTGCTAACTAACCTTCATCCATCCTGAAATCCAGATAAGTAAAAAAACCCCTAAAATTAATAAAGCAATTATTCCTAGAGTCTTGTTGCATCTGGAGAGGGATTTCCTGTTTCGTCAGGCAGGTTCTTTCTGCTTTATGTAGATTCCCTAAATAATATGTCAGTACAATCCCCATGCAGCTGACTGACTAGAGTTCTTAGTGTTAATGATGCCAGATCTTATAAAATGTTGTGGTAAACTTGGGGTATTTTAAATGAAAATTTAACGCAAATGTTTGGCCTTTTTTTTGTTGAGCACTGTAATATTTATCCTATTTAGCCAGCAGGGTTGGTTGGTTTGTTTGGTTTTTTTCAGATAATGTCTGCCCTAGACCCTCCTGCAGAGGACATGAGCAACAGTCAAATTTCTGAGCTGAATCCATCTTATACTCAGGCTCGCTTCTCTCATCTCAATTTTGATTTGCACAAGCTATCAGAAAAAATGGAGAAAGAATACCAGGAGATTCGTGAGCAGTTGCAAAGGGGTTATAACCCCAGCATGAGAAATGAATGCAAGAGGTTAAAAACATTCTTCTCCTATGACTCTGGTTCATCGTGGGCTCCCACAGAGATGGCTGCTGCTGGGTTTTATTACACGGGGGTTAAGTCTGGTATACAGTGTTTCTGCTGTGGGCTGGTTTTATTTGCAGCACGAGCCAGATTGTCCCCAGATTCAGAGCATAAAAAATTTTGTCCTCAGTGTGAATTTGTCCAAGGGAAAGAGGTAACATTCTGCGGTATGACATACGTGTTCAGAACGTAGAGAAGAGTCCGGCAGAGCCTACAGACAGATACAAAGAGGAGGAGGCTAGACTTCAGTCTTTTGAAGCCTGGCCATTCTATGCCAGAGGAACCCAGCCAGCTGCACTCTCTAGTGCTGGATTTTTCTTTACAGGTAAATGGAAAAGGTATGTTTGTTTTTTGGTATGTTTATTAGATTTATATGCTGTCTTTCCCAAAAACGTTCTTGGCAGCTTACAATAGATGAGAAAATAACTTGTAAAGTCAGAACAAAATATTTAAAATAAGAAAATAACACAAAGCAAATTCTCCCCCCCCCCCCCCAAAAAAAAAAACCA